ATTTTGTCAAATCTCCTGATCTACGGTAGATAAGAACACATGGTTGCCGCAGCCACGCAGTCGGATCTGCTGGAGTGCAAAAGTCACGCACGTTAGGAGACTTGAGTCCGTCCAGATCAAGAGGAGTCAGGGTCGATACTAGCATAAGACATGTTTTTTCCTTCCCCACACTGGCCTTAGGTTCAACGAAGCCTTTCTTCGTTGAGCCTACACACATGCTACCGTGATGCTGGTGAAGCCCCCGCCCGGCAACGACATTTCTTGCGTCATACAGTCCTTCCTTTTATATACATCTGCAACTACTCGCTCCTTTGTTTTCCTTGATGGCTCGGCTGGGGAACTCCTGCGTGAAGCACTTGCACGAGCCAGAGGTTCGCGGAAGCTGTGCGGGATTTATGCAGGTGGGCCGGGCCGAGGTGGTGAGCTCTGCTCAGAAGCGTCACAGAAGCATCATGAACAGAGCAATTTGGCGGATGTAGGCTTCGGCTTCCTGCCTCGGCGCACTGTGGCTTGCGCTAGTTGTAATGTCTGGATGGCATAAACTTTGGAGTATCCACAGAACAACTGTGGTATCAGACAGCGCACAACTGAAGAAGATGGAGGACAAGAAGGATGCCCATTGCTGATGTGGACAGAGGGATGAACCAACCTGTCCATATGAACATGAATCCATGATTGTGTGTTCTGCACATAGCCAGGTCAGTATCCTGGTCGGTCACTGTGGCAGTGCAACGTGACTTGGTCTTTGGAGGCGTGATGCAGGTGAAGGGCTTGAGATGATCCATATGGGGCCAGAAACAGCAACTGTACTACATTTGCCCACGCCTAATATTGAGGACCCGAGGGGTACTCCATGCACCTACCCTGCAAGCCACTTCATGCTTTTTTGATCCTCGTGGTGTCTCTCACGCTCTCTCTCCCACGGAATCTTGACCCGCCAGGCTACTCCGATGGCTCCATAGCAGTGTGGTCCAGGCACGCAACCGAGGCCTGGCTTCGACGTTTGCAATTGATGATTCACTCTTTGTTTCGCTTTTTTGTTTTGCCGATGTAGACCCCAGATGGTGGTTGGCGCTGCTATTTCACCACATTTGCTCCAAAGTCGAGATTTCACATCAGTTCTCGCTTCACTGTTGAAACATACCACATGTTCCATGCTTTTGTCAGGCCGTTTTGGTACTGCAGGGCCATCAGTGTCATGTCACCCGTCTGATGCTCACCAAGACCACCAAGAAGAGCCCCACCAAGGCTGGGCCCCCGAAACCAACAAAGGCCACCAGGACCACCAAGGCCACAGCAACCACCAAGAACGCCACTTGGCATGTTATACGTACGCATATGTGATATATGTGGATGCATCGCGTGCAGAGTCAGTTCTTTGCTACGGCTACGTTCATTTTGCGCATGTCCTAATATCTCCTCCACTATGGTGCAGTGCCTTTGTTTTCTTCCTGGTTCAACGTGTTTTTCTTTTTTAGGGCGTTGCCTCGTGGCTCCGTCTGCTCGTCGCCAGCCTCGGAAGAGCTAGCCCTATCATGTTGGCTCAGAGAGAACTATTCCTGAAGCTATGATTGGAATTCCTTAAGGCTCAGATAAATGGGATGTAACACATGGACAAACAAAGTTGTGTCATCTTCTTTGTGGTCTTTTCGGCTTCTTTCACCACACGGGAAACTGACTATACATAGACATATGTATATATAACGCATGCCATCCCGAATTCCAGGAATTTCCCTTTCCCACCTGATGATGATATACCTAGGTGGTGGTGCTACACCCAGACCCCGCACTTCATCCGCAACGGCTGTCGGACCACAGGCGGGCACCGCGTGTCCGCTATTTTGGGCTGCAAACGTTTACTTTAGCTCAGCTATTTCCAGAGCATTACTACACCTGAGCTTTCGGAC